AGGCATGTTGGGGAATGCGTTCGACCATGTTCTTCGGATCTTGAAGGATTCCTGGGTATCTTCCATGTGAAGCCAGATTCAGCCTAATCCCCATTTTCTCCCAACAGGCTGCGCTGCCTTTCTTCCAGGCCTGGGGTTTTTTAGCGGTGCACGGTAGAGATGAACTTTGGAGCCTCTGCCCGCGGTGGGTTGCTGCAGTGTCTGCGCGAGATATTTCTCAGTCTGTGTGGCCCACCGCGCAATGTCAGAGCCTAGAGCGGTGATGGCCTGCCCCAACATGGACCATCCTCCTCAGTGAAGCTAGTCCACTGGTTGGGCATGTTGTAGCTCCTGGAGATTGGTGGGAATCTGCAGAGCCAGGGCACAGTGAGGCTTCCAGGGTACTTCCCAATTTGCTTGCAGTGGAAGGGAGCCCGCAATCGAAGTGGAGGCCAAAATGAAGTCGAGGTGACTGCTTTGGAGTGTTGTGGGGCCAGGAGTGGCCAAGATCTCTGCTGGGTATTGCCGTGGCCGCCAGTTCTTCAGGTGCTGATTGCCAGTCTCCTCCAACGATGAAGGGGGCGTGGAGATGATCAAGAAATTGAAGCAATTGACCCAGGATCTCGGCGTTGAGGGGTGATTGAAGAGTTTTGCCAGTCCTCAGATAGGGCTGGATAAGGTAGATCTCGATTCCCTGGCGCTGCATGGCTAGGGCGGTCCAGCCATTTCCTTGTTTGGCGAAACCTCCGGTCGATCCGCCATTGCCCGTAGCTTCTGCCGCCACTCCATGACGCTTCCATCTGCGGGTGATGAAGTACTGCCTGGCTGTGTCAAAGGGCCTTTTCCTGCAAGTGCGTTTCTTGGAACATCATGATTGTGTCTCCTTGGCCCCAAACCCAGTCTTGCACCTCCTTCCCAAAGAAGGTGACGTTGCTGAAGGCAAGCTGATGGTCTCTTGACTGGCGCGGGGTTTCTTGGGCAGGTACTCCGCGACTTCCACAGCCGCGTCTGGCACGAGCTCATTTGTGGGAGCTAAGGTGAGCTAAACCTGTGAGATCTCTTTCCTCTGCTGTACCGTGAGATGTGGCAGAGGTGTGGGAAAGGTCTCGTCGTCGGCTAGCCGGTAGACATTGTCAATGGCCAAGATGCTCTGGCAATGGCCATTTTCATGGGTGACTCCTTGATGGAGGACAAGCCCAACGATTTGGTACGTGGCATAATGCACATTGATCATCATTGATCCCATCTTCAGAGAAAGGGATGTTGACTCTGTGTAAATCAAACTCCCGGTGATGCTTGGTCCAGGAACCTTCAAGAAGGGCAGAACGCTGAAGGTCCACCAGGCGCGCCATAGAGAAACTGCCCCCTAGCTTCATTTGCCCAGTTGTTGATCAGGGAGTCTAAGGACATGGCATCCGGTCCATCAGGGAAAATGCTCTCACTCTCTCTCTCTCTCTCTCTCTCTCTTCAGTGTGTCCTCGTTCACTGCGGTGAAAGAAGCCTGCAAAGAAAGTGCAAGCCGAGAAGGACCACAAGGAGTGGAGAAAGTCAACTGCGCCTGCCTGTTCCTCATTGTCCAATGACGACCAAATCTGGTGCATATCGTGGAGTCCAGTGAGATGCTGTGGTTCGCTGTCTGAAAGAAATTATCTGACAGCCTGTTGGGATCTCCCCCATGCCTGCGTTGCATCATCTGCAAAAGCTCCAGTCCAGCGCCAACAGCGCCACGGCGCGTTGCCATAACAAAGGTTTCTGGTGTTTTGGAGCACACTAGTTTGGCGTTGAGACACAATGAAGATGTTCGCCACAGTGTGTTCCACTTCACCCGGTACACTCAGGCGCCGGTGGACCAGGTTTTGCATTCGTTGCAAATCCATGAGAAGCTGGCGCTGGCAGGAGCTGAGCAAGTCTTTGGCGCATAGGTCAAAGAGAGTCTGCTGTTCAAAGGTCAGGGTGGAGTCCTCCACTTCCATGTTGAGGACCCTGGCCAAGGACAGAACTGCTGAGGTCCTGTAGGAAACGGTCTGCTGAGGGGGAGCCGTTCAGTGGTAGAAGGCACAGGGCCTCAGAGTCAGCCTTGGCAACTGCCTGCCTGCAAAAGTGCCCCGCCAAACACCTTGAGCGTCGCAAGGGGCGCCGGCAAGGTCCATAGCCCGTGGTAGGATTGAGCCGGCCCGTGCTTGAGCCTGAAAAGGAGGTGGAGTCAACCTGAATTGCGTTTCCCCCAGCCGGATTCATCAGCACTCTGCGAGTTAACCTCACTCCGGAGCAAAAAGAACAGCTGCAAGTCATGCTCAAACGTCCATCCACAGAGGCTGAGACAGCTGAAGAAGAATCCAAACGCAGGAAGACAGACCTTGGCACACTTAATTCTTGTGCGTAGCGCCAGCCGGGGAACCCAATCAGGCTCCTTACCACAAGAGTGGGGACAATTTCCATGGTCCACGGACCATGACTGGGGACTCACTAGGAATCATGGGATTCTCTCAACCAGCTCCTTGACAGGAGCGGGGAGGCTGGCCAAGTTCTCTTTGAGAACGTCAGTCAGGTCAGGTTCCATGAGCTTTGCAGTCGGGGTGATGCCAACCTCGCTGAGCTTGCTCTTCAGGACTTCAGGGCTTCATCCAGAGCGTCCCTTGCTGGGGCCAGGATTTCTGACGAGTTTGGAAGCCCTTGCTAACCCAGGTGGGGGTGTCACGGACTGTTCTTGTAGGAGTTCCAGCTCCTTGCCCTCTTGTCACCTTGCGGCTTGGCATAGCCTGGGAGTGGTGCACAACGTGCAGGTGAAGTTGGCCTGAATGCGGTCTCCCCAGTCAAGGATCTCGCGCGGGAAGTCGCGTAGATTGGACGTAGGGCCAATGCCGTTGACGAAGGTGGTGCCAACAGCCTGAAACCTGTTACTTGAGCAGAAATGGCTTGAGCCGTATGTATGTATGTATGTATGTGTGTTTGTTTGTTTGTTTGTTTGTATGTTTGTAATGCATGTATGTATGTACGTACGTACGCCGTGTGTATGTATGTATGTATGTATGTATGTATGTATGTATGTATGTATGTAATCCCGTCCCCCTAATAATAAACACGGGCCCCCCCCCCCCCTAATAAGGAAACCTCGGTCGCATTTTTTTTAATAGGGGGTCCCTGAAATCGGGGTGTCCAAAATAGGGTCACCTGGAAAGAGTTTCAAAACCAAAAAGTAATCCAGGAAAATTTTATATAAAATCCTTTATTAAACTCATATCAAAAATGCAAAAAACCGCCAGATCGAAGGGTCTTCCTTTTCCCCTACAAAAACCTTCATTAGAATAGTGATTCTTCAGTAGACTAACAGCTAAAGCTTTCGAAAGGTGATGTCGCTGTGCCATGCGGTGTTGCATGACCTCGGTGGCAAGTGCGTTTGCGTGAGTCCGTGCCATTGAGGGAAGGAAAGCCTGCTGGTGTAAGCGCGGCGTGTCATGGTGGAGTTTTGGGGAACCTAATAAAAAAAACTACCCCCAAAATCGACCATGTTGGTAGTTTAGTAGCGGTTTGAAAGGGCGGCAATTTAAAACCAAATATAAACCGAATTTAGGGGATCCGGCATGATTTTTTTTTAATTGGGGTCCGTTTTTTAATAGGTACTCGGGATTATGTATGTATGTATGTATGTATGGTATGGATGTTATGTATGTTATGGATGTTATGCATGTTATACATGGTATGGTACGGTATGGTATGGTATGTATGGTATGGTATGGTATGGTATGGTATGGTATGGTATGGTATGGTATGGTATGGTATGGTATGGTATGGTATGGTATG